CGTCGCGTCTCAGCTCACAGTAACTTCTGTCTGTCTGTCCTGAGGCGTCCACTTGGCTGTGCCAGGCAGGCTGGAAGGAGGGGTCCAGGCAGGGTTGGAGGGCAGAGGCTGAGGGTCCGCCAGTGCCGAGTGCTGAGAGCTGGCACACGGAGGCTTTGGAGGAGGCTGGGGGGCCTTGGGGGGAGACAGAGGGGCCGCTTCCCCCGTGGGGTCCGAGTGGGGAGGTGAGGGGTGCCGAGGAGCAGGCCTTCAGGGCCTGAGGAGAGGGAGAGATGTGAGCCCCAGAATCCTGGGAGGGGGTGGCCCGCTCCCTACCCCTGCTTTTATTCAAGCCCAGGAAGGAGTGAGACGAGGGGCTCTGTGAGGTCAAGGGCGTGGTCGCAGGGGGTGAGCAGGAGGAGGCCTGACCTGGTACCAAGCGTGCCTGGAGCTGCCTCAGGCCACTTGGCCCGTGTGTGGGGGCTGACGGGGTCCTGGGGAGTGGGGGCGGCTGCAGGCTGGGCAGGAAGGTGCCTGTGAGGGGGGAAGGAGGAGGGTGGAGTGGGGACAGTGAAGGAAGGGGGAGGAAGGATGAAGGGCCAGCCATTGACAGACGCCGCTCCGTCCTCATCTTGTAAAAATGTGCCTGCACCCGGCCTGCCCCTTCTTTAAAGGGACAGATGTCGGGGAGAAAGCTGATTATCGTCAAAGGCTGGAGGCTGTGACCAGAGCTGGCGGTTAGCATGACCCAGTTCTGAGCTATTCTCAGCCCGGTGGGAGCTGAGTAATCCCTCCTGCCAGTGCCTCGCCTCGCAAGCAGCCTGACTTTGAAATGCCCTTCGCTGGGCACAGAGACGGCCGGGGAGGTGGCTGGGCCGGGGCAGAGAGGGCCTCGCTGGGCACCTACCTCTGTGCCTGCGGCCACGAAGCTTCTCCCCTAAAACACAGGGTATCTCCCTGTGACTTGAGATTAGGCCACGTGACCAAGGGCTTGAAAAGTGCCCCCATGACCGGGGGCAGTTGAGGCAGATTTGAGAGGGACCGACTGCCGCTTTAAGCCTGAGTTTTTTTTTGGGGGGGGGGCAATATTTGTTATGCGGCATGCCTGTGGTGACAGCTAACTAATAAACCTGCCTCAGAAGTCATGGAGGTCAACTGAAGTGCTACCTGCTCGGCCAAAGGTTCTCAGTTTTCGATGTTTATTATACAACTAACTATAAGCAGTGACCAGATGACCTGCATTTATCAGTAAAGTTTCAATGTCGAATCTTCTCTCTTCTTTTCTTCATAAACAACTCGGGGGCCCCTGAAACAAAAAACTATTCAAGTGCCTCAAAGTGCAAAGGACATTCTCAGATGGATCCAGAAGTGGCCCCCAAATTCTGGCCTTGGAGTCTGAAACGGGGGTGGGGGGGGT